CTTTATGGTACAATTGAAAATTCAGTACTTCTCTGAGCAAGATTTTCTGAATATTAACAATGAGTTCCAGAATCTGAAAAAGGGCAAGATGAACGTCAGCGTGTACGCTGCAAGTTTTACAAAGAAGATAAAGCTAGTTCCTAACTTGGTTCCCACCGAACTTTCCAGGGTAAATAAGTTTGATATGGGACTCCCAACGGATTATAGGCCAACAGGCATCGTAGGTTCATCTCTATTCTGTTGAAGTAAACGCCTTGTCTCTTCCATCTGACGATCCAACATCATCTGGATCATTGCTTGTACCTCGTCCATCGTGATTGGCTCGGGTGCAGCTGCTACTATCGGTACTTGCTCAATCACTTGGGGTTGAGGATGCTGATTGCCATTAGCATTAGTATTTTTGATTCTGCTTCGGGTTCTCGCCATGTTGATCTATACACCAAAGTAGCTGAATTTAGATCTTTATTTACGATAGACGTTTATTTCCTCTTTGTCACTCTAAAACGTTACATGCTAGTTCTAATATCATAGTCGAACGTTTAGAAATCTGAACACGTAAAGTTTCCAGATCCGGTCGGTAATAGACCATAGATCCGATTAAATAATAGCATATAAGGCATCTTTATAGCTATAACATAAATCATTTAGCACAAAATAGCAATTTAGGCATCTTTCCTCAAATAAGCTAGTGCTCGTGTCTAAAATATAGTAGACACTCATCTCACAATCATCGATTAGCATTCTAAGTTTAAGTCTAGAAATCCTACTAATTCCTAATTCGCTTAAACTAATGCTCAGATACCAACAGTGACATCCTCATTTTCACGGCCAGAAAAGACCGATTTGTTTTATGCTTTATTTGAAAAATCAGAGTATATTTTTAAAGAAATATATTGCGGAATTTATTCCCAAAAACATGATAAAGAATTTATCAAAGCATTTCCAAAGAAATGTATTTATATTAAAAACATCGGGATGTCATTGTCAATATAGATCAAAAGCATAAACAGAAACAACATAGGCCTTACAACATCTATTTATTATAGTGGCCTATAATCCATTGATCTCTCATCGGACCATCACTCATGTGCTCGCTTGCCACTACATGTATACAAGAAACTGAGTGGGTCAGGCTTGGGAGCCTGGTGAGCACATAAGGTTTTCAACCCATAATAATTAAGTTTATTAATGTCATCAAAAATTCATATAGGTTGTGTCGGCTAAAAATCGATCGATCTAAAATTCGAATTACGGGTTGTGCATTGCTATGCTAATTCTTAGAAAAATCATAACTTCCTCATACGAAGTCAGATTTGGTCGTTCTTTTTATGCATGTTCTCGGTTTAACGTATACTATGACTTTTTGTTTAGATCGTTAAGGCTAAAAAGTAATTTATCAAAAATTCACTTTTTACGTTACGCGGTGTCGTGTCGGTTTTGTCGTAAAACTTCGACAGGTCATAACTTCTTCGTTATAACTCGGATTTCGGCGTTCTTTATATCTCTGGAATCTTGTCACGACCACTAAAACTTTCTTCATAGATATTGGGTTTATCTATTATTTTATTTTTGACGCTTATTTTCATTCTTAATTTATTATAACTTATAACTGAGTATAATGCTCATAAAATCACATAATTCACATAATATTCAAGTAATTCCTCTTTATTACTTCAAAATAGGTTAGTTGTTGACCCTAAATATTACATCTTTATACTAATGCTTAGCCAAGAAACACGGGATTTACACAGTCATAGGAAACGGTCTCACGAACCACCTAGGTACCAATTAGAGGTAAAACCTCATTCTACAGCTCATTCCTCAAAGTTTGACCAAAAGTCAAACTTTGTCAAAATCAATGGAAGCGCACTGTGACTAAGACTGGCCATGTCACGCCCACTACACGACAAAATAGCTGTGAAATCCTTCGTGAGGGGCGTCACGACCCTCATTCAAGCGCATTACGATTACTGGCTGAACAACCACCTTCTTTTAAGCACTTAATCCTTAGAGTCAGAGCCTCCAAATCTCAAATCTAAAACTCCTCAATGTCTTAATGTATAAAGTTTCCAACTTTATCCGTAACCAAGGCTCCATCAAGCTAAAACTTAAACCCTAACTAAAAAATGGTCCAAATGACCAAGAGTTACTGCATGGCTCAAAGGAAGCCCATGCATACCTACTTTTTATAACATCTTAAGTCTAGAGATCAACTAAATATCATCATAAGGTTTTGGAGTTACTCAAACTCCAAGAACATCCATCCAAAGGAACCAAAAATGGATATAATATCAATATTAATGAACTAAAAGCCATAAAGGTGGAAGCTTTATACCCTCCAAAGGTTCGGGAGTGAAAAGAAAGGGTTGATCTATTTTGGAATCAAACTATTTTGTGCCTCAGTGACCTTCTTCTTTTCTTCTTCTTCAAGCTTCACCAATAATATACAAAAGGCTCAAGAAAATAAGAATGGGGCTAGGGTTTGCAATGGGGGAGTTTCTAGAGAATTAAGCCGCCAAATGAGGCAATCTTAGGGATTTATGCCTTTAAATAGGGCCCAAGGCCCGAGAATTAGAGTTTTATTAAATAGAAAGTGTATGTCGTGTACAATAGAAAACGCACCACGCCTTCATTAGACTAATGCATTGCGACCAACCTAAGTCGTGTCCCACTCCAAGCTAATTCCTATAACTCTAAAATTTTAAATGAGTTAGATATCGGGATTCGGGTGTTAAAACATGTATAATACCACAACAAGAAAACCCCGGCCTCCTGGTTTTTAAGAATCAACCACACATGATGGTGACAGATTTCCAAATATGGCCGAAGATAGCATATTAGAGGCCGATTGTGGAGGGTGTATGTGTTGAACAAAATCCAGGGTTGAAACCACCATCGACGGATTTGTTTATGAAGTGTGGATATGTTGGTGGACCTGTTGAAGATCGAGGGTGAATCGTCCTGAAAATATCAAAAAATCATTATGGGTATATGAGGTTGAAGATCGAGGGTCGATTTGTTGGTGGAGTCGTCGGATACAAGGAAAAGAGACGGAAAAGAGTATGGCGCTGCCAGGGGATGGAAATGATAGTGAAGAGATGATATGTAGGTAGGCATAGTGAGGGTGAACAACAGTGATTGTAGGTGAACGTCAGAGACGAAGCTTATAGGTAGGCGTCGGAGGTGGTGGTTGTAGGTATATTTTAGACGTGGTGGTGGTTGTTGCAAGTAGCATTTGGGTTGGAAGATAAATGTGACTATAGGAGGCTGACGATGGGAGGCTGAAAAATTAGGGAATTAGGGTTCTTATTTATTTATTTACATACTTGATCCTTGTAGTTTATAAAATGATGCATTAACATAAAATACAAAAATAGAGGCATTTCAGTCATTTTACTTAGACACAACGTCTCATTTCTAACAGAGTTGGCCAAAAGGACCAAACGGACAACTTTTTTAAACCACGGGGACCAAACGGGTAGGAGATTAAGGGTGAGCATTTGGACATCCGGATCGGATCGGATCGGGAACCGAACCTGGACTGGTTTCTTAGATTAGTGTTGGTTATCGGTTCTTTGTATCATATGAAATGGTCTGGGTACAAAAATGGGTCGGTCTGGATCCGGATCCGGGTCCGGGTCCGGGTACAAAAGCAGTTTGGACAGGAATTTTAAAGAGGTTATTTATTTTAAACCTATATTAGATTTTCAACCTTTTTGTATTCTGTGGAAAAATTTAAAACATGCATATCTCGTTTGTTTGAAATCGTATTGACATGTATTTTTTTTTCCAGCGTGTAGTTTAGAGTTTGTATACGATTTTAGACTTCGGATTTGTCGTTTTTGGTTTTTATATTCAATGAGTTACAGTCCCCTAAAGTTATGATGTCATAGCTGGAATTTTTTAGTTTTTCAAATATTTTTTTGTATTTTGTATTATCTGAAAATTTGAAAACATACATATCTCATTCGTTTGAAATCATTTTAGCATGCATTTTTTTCCAACATGTGGTTTAGAGTTTGTACATGAGTTTAGACTATAATTTTATCGTTTTGGAATTATTTTCAATGACTTATAATAGTCTCCGGAAGTTGGAATATCAAAACTGAATTTTTTTAGCTTTTCAACTATTTTTTTGTATTTTGTATTTTGTGAAAAATTTAAAAATGCATATCTTATTCGTTTGAAGTCGTTTTTGCACGCGGTTTTGTTCTAACATACAGTTTAGAGTTTGTATATAATTTTAGACTATATTTTAGTCGTTTTTGGTTTCATATTCAATGATTTACAACACCCCCCCCCCCCCACACACCCAAATCGAGATATTCTAACTTGAATTTTTAGCTTTTCAGCTATTATTTTGTATTTTGTGCAAATTTTAAAAATATGCATATCTCATTTGTTTGAAGTCCTTTTGGCATGCGGTACAAATAATCATAAATTAACTTTAGCATCAAAAACTAACTTTCGATAGAGCTTCAGCTACTTTGTCTCATATGCACCTAAAGTTGTATCGGTCCAACGGGTACAAGAAACCGAAATGCCCGGCCCGGACCCGGTAAACCTCCACAGGTCGGTCCACGGTCCACCCATTTCTACCAAACCAGTTTGGTCCAAAAACCGGTTCCGGTCTAATCCAAACGCTCACCCCTATAAGAGATTCAATAGTTGTCCTGATTGTGCATGTTTTGGAATTTGGAAAACCGCAGGACCAATCGCTTAATTTGGTCTAAATATAAGATTATAAGTTACAAGCAAAGCTCTATTTTATGAAAAACTCACAAAGTAACTTTCTTTTAATATCCTCAACCACAATTATAAACACAAATACAAAAAAGGTAAAGGGTTCAATGTGAGAACCAAACCAAACACACAAATTTAGCATGTTCCACTCAAATGATCTAAGGTTGCTATTCATTACAAACCTATATAATGTTTTTTTTTCCTTTTGGATCGAACTAGAGCTAATAAATCAGCCATTATTCAAAAAAAAATGCAGTAGGAAAAGTCTCACAGTATAGCAATCATTTAAAAGTTTAATGCCACCCATTTCATCTAATTTCCAACCAAAATCAAGTGTTAGTCAAACTCATACATACAAAGTTTATGCTATATTTGCTTTAGGTATTAGTGTTCCCATTGTGTAGGTGGTTCTTTGAGGACCTCATGACACATGTTCTACTTCTATTTGTGTGCATGTCACAATCCCATAGTAACAGACAAAAGTAGGAATCATAGACATGTTTCTTGTAAAACAGCAAAAGATATTAAAATAAACTACAATAGCTTCCCATACAACATCGCCCATAAATGTCGCTTAATGTCTTCATCTTCAGGCGACAAGTGGTCTTTCAACAACAGTGTATTAAGATGCATGTGATGCAACTTCTTAGCCTTCATTTCTTCCTTTTTTAGCTTCAAGTCGAGTCTTTTTTCCATGATTTCAACTTTTTTTCCCATGAGTTCAACTTCTCTGTCTCTAGTAACCCTAATTGCACGAAGTTGTGCAATAAATTCATCAACAGACAGAGAAGACTGTGATACCTTAGACTCTTGGTTGGAGTGTTCAGAATTGTCCCCTTCTTCACTTGCTGTGTCATGATCAATATCTACTCCCATTTCTTCACCTCTTGCACCCTTTTCACTATTTTGTGAGGTTTGGTTAATATTTGGAAAAAATTCCATGTTTTCAGAGCATTCAGGGCTTAAATGATCCAGGGAGTCTTCAAGATGTTGAGAGTTCCTATATAAATTTGGATATGTTAGATCCATGGTACGAAATTAAAGAGATTAGAAATGAAAAGTTGAGAAAGTATATGAAAATATGCCAAATACTAGGTTGTATTTGTAGAGAAAATTTAAGATTTTTTTTTAAAAAAACAAATAAGTACTATCCAATAAAATAAACCAACCAATAAGAGAATGCCATGTGGAAAGTAAAAACATATAAAAAATGGCTGGCTAAGATATGATATGGTTGATACTTACTTGGGAACAAAATTTTCCAAGTCCTTCACAGCTGCCTCCACTGCATAAACTGCAATTTTCTTCACCTGTAAATTAGCAAGCATAAAGCAATTGCACGATTACAGTTTATAACAAATAAGTCTAAATAAATATAACTGACAATACTATGGACCTAGTTGACTCTTGTGTAGTTTATAAAGTATGATACAAATTGGACCAAATGATGCCACACATACAATAAAGTCAGTACTTGAATCCAACATCAGATATGTGGCAAAAAGACCGGTTTGACAGGTTCCATAACGGGTTGAAGTCAAACAGGAGTTGTGTTGACCAGACAACAAGTTAATCCAGTTTTAATAAACTCATAACTAATTAATATATAAAATATGACGGTAAAGTAAAACAATATTATATTTTTGAATTGAAATATTTAGGAGGTTGTACCTTGTCATTCAATCTGTTACCTTTTTCACTACTCTATTTTAATTACCAATTTGACCTGTTATCAGAAACATATAAACCCAAATTCCCCTCTACAGATAATAATAACCAGTGGGATGGCCCGAACGATGCCAAGGGTTTATTAATCCTATATATTCGACACCATTTCTGTAATGACCTCTGACATAAGGTCTATTTCTGTAAATTTTGTGAAACATGGGGACCATGGCTGTAAATTCGCTATTAGACAGGAACTATTTCTGTAATTTTGTGAAAAGTAGGGACCGTTTCTATTATTTTGCAATTGGGCAGGGACTATTTCTGTTATTTTGTGAGATACAGGGACCATTTCTGCAGCTTTGCTATTAGGTAGGGGTGATTTTTGTAATTTTGTTAAACATAGGGACCATTTCTGCACTTTTATGAAATAGAGAAACAATTTATGTAAATATGCTATTATACAAGGACCGTTTCTGTAACTTGTGAAAAATATGGAAGACAGGACCAGTTTTGTAATTTTCTATTAAGCAGGGACCATTTTTGTAAAACTGCACACGCTCCTAAATCTGCCTGTAAAATAGTTATATTTGATAATTGCATAGTGAATGCAACCTGACCACATATGAACCAACAAGAAGTGCAACTTTAGAACTGAAGGATGATGTCAGATTCAATATTGCATAATATAAAGAAGAGATTGTTTACCCCCAACTTATCTTCTTTAGCCCTATGATTTTGGGGAAGAAGGCGGAAATCATCTGTCAACCGAATGCATTCACCAACATTTTCAGGAGAAACAAAGTCCAGTGCTACTTTTATACATGACTGCAAAAAAAAAAACATATTTATGCACTTAATACAACACATATAAACAGAGACAAAAATCGAAAGACACAAAACTAACAAATAATATTTCCAGATCAAACGAAGTTAAAGGAGATTCAACTTTCAAGGCTCATTTAGAGAAAGAATGGCTATGCTTTCCCGGAATGGATAAATTGTAACTTTAACAAGGTTAACAGAAGACTTCTAGGTAGAACACCCTTACCATCTGTTTAGAAGTTATTTGCAGCAGTCTAAAGACAAGATTCTATCCCTAAACAAAACAATTATAGTGATTTTGAGCATAAAAGTAGTTATTTCTGTAACTGTGTGTTTTATACCCTTTAGATCTTGTACTGCCTCCGTCCGCTTCAGGTCACCTTGTGAGGTGCCCTAATTAGGGACCCTGGGCACACGCTACGATTTTTTTATCCATGCTTGAATGCATATGAAAAGAGTGTTTTTGATATGAGATCGTGGGAGCATACATGTGAAGCACGGCATAAGCATCATACAGAAGTTTTTTTATATAGGTTGCTTTATGATGATTGTTTCTGGAAGCTGTACTTGAATGGTTTGATTGAGGCTGCTTTGTTTTCAAACGACAGAAATATATATATATATATATATATATATATATATATATATATATATATATATATATATATATATATATATAGCATAAGGTTTAATAGTATCTTGTGTTACTTTATATTAGTTTCCTAAAAGTATGTTGTATTTAAATGTAGATTGTTTCCTTGCTATGTTATTACTTATATGGTATCAGAGACATGTCGACACAGCCAACACTTGCCTTGCTGGATTGTCCTTGGAACCCTAGCTTCGAAAGACATGTCAAGAGCCTACACTTGCCTTGTTGGATTGTCTCTGGAACCCTTAGCTTCAGGAGACATGTCAGCAGCCTACACTTCCCTTTCTAGATTGTTGCCGGAACCCTAGTTTCTGGAGACATGTTAGAAGCCTACACTTGCCTTGCAAGATTGTCGCTGGAACCCTAGCTTCCAGAGACGATGTCAACAGCCGAAACAAACCGCCGCTGCGGCCCTTGCTGAAACAGATTGCAGTCGTTGCCGCTCATTCAGCTGTTTCCAGAACCGTAGTTGCCTCCGCCGAAAATCTAGTTGTTGCTGTTGCCAACCTTGCTGAAACGAACCTCCCCTGCCATCGCGGAACCCTTGATGAAACGGGTCGCTGCCATCACAGCCGTTGCTAAAACAGGGCATATATATGCGCCCTGTTGTCCAGAGTCCGTGTTCACCTCCTGTGTGGTAACCCTACTGTGACTGTAGGGTGATCTTTTGTCGGTAGCCATCCAATCCGGTTCTTCCTTAAACCTCTTGTACCATGTAGGTAACTCTGTTTTGAGGTAAGCAAACAACAGCACCATCTCTCGATCTAGTGTTGACTCAGAATATATATGCAAAATGACATGGGTGAGAAAATTCCTTAGGGAGTTGGGAGTAACTACAAACAGCTTGATGAGGCTTTATTGTGATAGTCTTCAGACATTCATATAGGAAAATGACATGGTCCGACCAAGCACATTGAAGTTGATAGTCATCTTATATTCTTATTCGAGGTCACATTGTGGGAACACAAACATACCCTCCATCAATCAAACAGGTTAATGTCGGGACCCAATATTAACTTGCTCACATTTATTAATATCTTGTGTTACTTTATCTTAGTTTCCCAGTTTAGGTTGTACATTGTATTTACATGTAGATTGTTTCCTTGCTATGAAAAAACAAGAAAAGCTTTCCCGCATCTAATTACTTACATCAAACTTGGACGAATCCATGTGGGAGGCTAGAGCCCAGCATACATGAAATCATTGTGGATAGCACACACAGATTCCTAAGATCCTTTTCAATAATGTTGTTACAAAGGTTTCATAAGATCCCTTCCATGTTGATAGATAGTAATTAAAGTTGAGAAAAATAAAAAAATAAAAAATACCCTTGACAATTAATTCAATAAGCAGTTGCTAATGAACTAACACATAGACCTCCTAGCCTGACAACTCTAACTAACTGATGTGGTGCGCATAAACATCATTGGTAAGCATGTAAACTTAACAAACACTAAATAAACAGCATTTTCTATCTCCTATGCATACTTGAACAAGGGCATAAACTTTTACAGGTAAACATATCATCGTATTACCATCCTATCAACGAGCAATGCTTATTGGGAATAAGAAGTATCCTTTATCTCATGCAACATAATGCATACTGCAATGCATCTACAAGTGCAAGTTAACAAAATTCAGATAACTAGAACCTCTCAAATGGAGATCAAAGATCAAGAAAAAGATGCAGTCTCAACGACCAAGGGATGACCATTTTTTTCATAAATTAGTAATCACGATATTATGCAAGTCAACAGCATAGTGAACTACATGTTATCCCAAAACATCAAACCTTGATCCCTTTTAATTTCAAATGGAGCAAAACAATGCAGCAAAAAACGATATAAAAAGAAGTAGTAAGTTATTAACCTTTAGATTTCTAACTTGATGGGCACATCCAGCAGGTATAAAGACAGCATCCCCAAGCTTTTGTACAAAACTCCATGCTTCAATTCCTGATCATAACCAAAAAAAAAATGAGCACAATCATAAAATCCAATATCAGTGAAAGGTGATATATAGAGCCTTGCAAATGTACACTAACCAAATTCTTCCTTGAGCTTCCTTTTATGCTCCATGGTTAAGTAGAATGTTTGGTCATGAAGTGGGTGGATAACCTGGAGTAAGTAAATATAATAGAGCAATTTAAAATTTCACTATTTAGTATTGGGATACTATACATAAAAGAATCTCTATTAAGGGACTATGTTTTCACCTTCAAAAGTAACATGGTTCATGGGTTTTGCAGTTTATTAATAGTTTGCAAAATTTCTGATTGCCGCATATGATAAAAGAAACAATAGGCATGAGTGATGCATCTACTCTCAGCTTTACAAGACACATGGTTTGCTTTCAATCAAAACTATAAATCTTGGAGGAATATTTGTATGTGATCGAATCAGATATGTTTTCTTAATACTTACTTCATTTCATGAAGAGGTAAAGGCCTAAATTTAAGTACAGACTACAACCTAAGATAGGAAACCATAAAAAGCATACAAGTATATTTAAGACTCCTCAAGTGGGAGCATTAATCATGCCCAACTTGTCGCATATAAAAGACTACAAAAGGGAGAGAGCTAAGTTGAATGCAACGAACAGATGAACAAAAATAAAAAGCTACATAAAAACAACAGGTGCACTGGACTGCTAGGCCTGGAACATGAAACAGTAACAGAAATCCAAAGATCAGGAGGCATGTAAAACGGCTTCAGGAATCAAGAACGGGAACAGGAACTGAAACTGATGTGAAAAAGTCAAGAATGGGCCCCTGGAATCTAGTCAGGAAGAAGTGATAACACTCAAAATCTCTGCCATCAACAGGTTCATCCCATGTTACTGAGCGAATAGTAGTATCTTGGGACTCAAACCTCCTTCAGTGGAAGAGATTTGAGCATGGAGAGGACCGAAGGAGGGAGATTTGGGAAGTGGTACTTGGTGTGCCAATAATCCTTGCAATAATAACATTGTATCCTCCTTTTCCAGCATTTCTAGATTGCAGATGCCAATGCCACAGCCTCGAATGGTTGAGGGTGAATTTTTTAAGTACAGTTCCCGAGCAAGATGATATGTAGATGCCATGACTATGAGGCGGTGTGACTCAACAGTAGGGGGCGAGCACTAGTATATGTGAGATAAACAGCATCACGTCCATCTTAACCAAACACTCTTCCTAAACTTGCACATCGGAAGTCACAGGGAAAAGAACCCCAAGTTCTTCTAACAGCTTACATAGCATGGTGTAAGGTCTCTGAGGCGCCTTGCTCGTGTCGAAATTCGATTTTGTAACATCAATCTATTTTGCTTCTTCGTTCACCACTGAAAAAAGCTAACTGAACAAAGACTATTTTAAGGTTTTCGGCTTCAGTTTTAGTACTTGAACAAAGACTAGTGATCAACCAGGAGTAACATGAGTTTTACCGGAGGATAAGTTGGAAAGGGGTCTTTAAAACTGAATCTTGGCAACAAGAACGTGGACAGATAGTACAAGGTGCAGAAAATGTTACCAAACCGGAACAGCCAAGCAGGTGGTGTTGGATGTAGCGACGGCTGTGGCAGCGAAGGTGGTAACTAGGTTTCAGGCGCGGAACAGGAGTCGTCGACCACAGAGATTACAAGAAACAGGAGCAGACGCGACAGCTATGGTTATGGCAAAGTTTCATAAACAGAGGCTCTGATACAAATCAAGAAACCCTAATCCTAAAATATGTTTTTAAAATAACATGGACCGAAGATTTCTAGGGTTCCGACAAAGTCAGCTCTGATACAAATCATGAAGAAGTAAAGGCTTCAATTTAAGTACAGGCTACAACCTAAAATAGGAAACCATAAAAAAGCATACAAATATCTTAGAAAACGCTATTCTCTAAATATATCTAACAGCATGTATTACTATTTACTTGTCGAGTAATGACCTCAATTTCTATACAAAGTTTGGCAAGCAAAAGGAAACTAAATCAATCCTAAGTAAGGACACGGATACAAATCAAGAAACCCTAATCCTAAAATATATATATATATATATATATATATATATATATATATATATATATGCACATTTGTATCTTGTAATAGTAAACATCAACCAAAAGAAAAGGATTACCTTCTGCACAGGACAACAATAGACATCCCGAAACTCTGTAAAGTGTTTTTTGAGATATTCCTCAAGTTTAGGAGTATCCTCCCTCCTAAAGATGTCCCACAGAGCACCTCCCTCTCCCAGATCAGATCCATCCACACAACTACCTGAAATATTACACTGGTTATTAACTTCTTCAATAGCTTCTATTTGCTCATTATTGCTAATTTCTTCATTATCAAAATTTACAGTGCATTTATCAGAAGACTTCACTTGTTTCCTGCACTTCACCTTCTTTCCCGCATTTCCATATTATTCCATTTCTCTTGTCCCCTTAGGGGCATATGGTTTGAGAATGCTGTGAACTGAATTAGGATGGAATGTTTATCCATTAGTCAGAAGTTTTTGTGAACTCCAACCAAATTCAGTTTCATACTCAATTACAACCAAACGTGGAACTGGAACATAATTAAATTCCAATTCCAGATAAATCCCCGAAATCCGGCAAACCATACGCCCCTTATCTTCTTGATCGTTATCAATGTTAAAATCAGCTTATTCACATCTTTCCTCCTTCAACTCACATTCATCTCATTGATTACTAATAAGGATCTGTTTTTTGGCTTGTTTCTAGTGTTAACACAGCAAACAGCTAAAGAGTCGTTTTGTCCTTCAACATCGATATCACATGAGAATCTTTCAACTTTAGATTCAAGACAATCATTACCTAGTGTCCCTTTTTGGAAAGTAACATCTTTCATGTTATCAACATCAAGTTGAGTCTTCCCTGCCAATCCAAAAAGTTCCATCTCATCCTGAGCCCTATGCTGTTGTTTCAATTTATCAATCTCTTTAAGCTGTTCGGGGTTGGGGGTCACACTTGCAGTATGAGTCAACAAATTCACCTGCATATCAACGGAAATTATATTTGTTTAGAAGACTAAGGATACGTATGGCACACCACAGCTAGCTTATTATTCAAGCTTTTTTAGGTTGTCATGTTTGGGAAACCAAAAAGTAGCTTATAAGCTAGCTTTGTAAAAAGCTACTTAGACTAGCATTTCAATGAGCTTATTGAAAATTTTTTAGATTCTCCCAAATATACCCTTTATTAATTATAAAGAAACTCAATCTTCTACGTGCCCTTTTATGTCATTTTACATATTTCAGCTAGCTTGTCAACTAGTTTTACCAAGCGTCAGTTTTTATCAGCTAGCAGCTAGCTTTTCAGCTAGTCCACCAAACATAGCCTAAATTGAAAGTTTAAATCATTTCATTCATGTTTGGCATAAGTAAATAGCAAAATCATACCACATCAGAATCATCACAATGAAGTTTAGTTACAGAGTCTCCACGTCCTAATTCTTCAGAAAAGCCATAAGCTATATATGTTTTAGGACCTATGTCTGGCTTCAGAGATCTTGGAGGCAACTTGACTGCAAGATTAAGGTAGCCATCACGAGGATGCGTATATTCTTTAAAGGGTAGAGAAGTGATAAATTCAACACCATGACGTGGTAACCGTTCTTCAAATAAATTTGATATGGGCCAGGCTTTCAACTTTAGGATATAAGGCCACCCTTCTATGTCATCTTTACCCTCCAAATACCCAATAAAAAACTGATGAACACTAATATCAACCTGCATGTTATAAAAAACTGATGAACTCTTGCACCCACCAATTACCATAGAACACAAATAATATTATAGAAAAATAGCACATAATTAACCAACCTCACACCAATCCAAACAATTAACAGCAGTCACATCCAAGAGCCTATCATGGTTGAGATTTGTAATCTGGCGAAAAGCACGCCACATGACCATGGGTTCCCAGCTCAGCCCAAGTGTAGTTTCTAGAACATTACTCACTATTACTGGCTCCCCTTTTGACCAATGCCACTGAAAATGTTTCAAATCTCCAGGTTTAATGTCTATTGCACATGGGCAATACAAGTAATTGTCACTGGAATTTTCACGAGAAGCAGCTTTTCGTAACTGCTCATCACCACCATCTGAAGAACATGTGCACCATTTCTCAGGCATATCCCTCATATCTTCCTCAAGTTTGTACATCTTTAAGAACTTTTGTGCTTTCTCTAGCAATTTTGGAACACTGTCAAGTGGTTTTATGTGCATCAACTCTAAAATCCCATGACCACAACCACCCATGGTTTCTGGTGGACAAGGGATTCTGCCATCATCCAGAGACTTCCACTCATGAGTTTGCTTTTCCTTTGGTGCAGGATCTTCAGCAGCCTTCTTTACTTTAAGGCGCTTCCCCCCATGTAAGTAATCAGGACCAGGATCATTAAATTCAAAAATAACTTCTTCCTTGTTTCCTTGAAGGTTGCCATCTCGCAATTCCCAGCAGCATTGAAGGCAAAGGTCATAATGACAAGAAGGGCATCTTCTATGCAAGTCAAAAATTGATGTTTTACAGCTGTCACTGCATAGTGCATACATCATGTGACAATCGAATTAGGAAACCATTATAAAACAAAACCCTCAAATACTTGAATCATGATCATTGAAATGAGATACATACCAGCGCACCCGTTCATCCACAAAGCACTTTACCTTCTTCAACCGTACCTCTGATAAAGAAGACCCTGTCCAATAAATAAATTTAGAGAAACCTAAATAAAGTATCACTTATCCTTTCCAACCATCATTTTAGTGAACAAACTCACACTATCATCATTCCAGCTCACCATCTTTCCCCATTATTTTACTCAATTTTGATAGAAAACCAAGAATTAGCTGTACAGATGCATAATTCTTCATGAAACATCTATGCACCAAGCCAATCAAAAAAAAATTAAAAGACGTTGTCATATGATTCTTTGTTGGCTTGCAGTTATGCAACATGAACTTTTCAAATTGAGTGCAAGGTCAAAGTTCAGGTTCATGTTCATGTTCATGTTCATTCGTTATGAGATCAAATAACATAATTGAGTTAAAAATATGAACAACCAAATACCTTGAATTTTAGACTCTATTGCTTTCTCCTTTATCTGCTCCTCATTGATGCGTTTCAAGAATGGATAAAGCACATGTAGGATATAAATAGAATATCGAACTTTCTGATCATCATTAGGTTTGAAATCAATCTTCTTTTTCACCTAAAAACCACCAACAGATTCAGTATTGCATTTCTTTTATGCGTAAGAGTAAGAACAGAAATAAGATCCATAACAAAAAGATTAAGATGCAGGAACCAACTTTAGGGTCCACATCACGCAAACAATGTTTACAGTTGCAATTGTCACAGCAAACAGGGCAACACTCAGCAAACATCTCCTCTGTCATGTTAGGGTACCTACAGAACAGAGTAAACAAGGAGAATAAGATGAAAATGCTGTGAAAAGGTGCAAATTCCAGATAACAAAGATAAAGTTTTGACTAATCATACCATGTTGTCATGCAAGGAACACAGTAACGCTTTGTAGTGCATTTCTGACACTGAACAACTCGTCCCTTGTCGTTCCTTTGACACTGATGACACATGTTTGATTGTACATGAACTAGATTTCCCTGTCAATTGATCAAATATGTGCAACAGCAATCAAGCAGATTTTCATGAAATATAAAAAAGAGAAACAAGGAATGAAAAGGGACACAGAATATTACATTTTCATCGAGAACCATGTTCTTGGCATAATTATTCAGCTTGAAACCATCCTTCATGCTGGAGTTGAAAGCTTCATGTTTTCTATATGTGGAAGGGCCGTTTTCAGATTTAATCGCAGCCCCAGTGTTCCCATTGTGCTTTTTCCAACCTCTTTTCCTACCTCTCTTCTTCTTCATCTGAACACCCTGTTTCTCCTCTGCATCAGGTTCAGAAACCCTATTTTGTTCTTCATTTCCTTTAATAGCTTCATGTTTTCTATCTGTGGAAGGAATTTTTTCAGATTTAATCGCAGCCCCAGTGTTCCCATTGTGCTTTTTCCAACCTCTTTTCCTACCTCTCTTCTTCTTCATCTGAACACCCTGTTTCTCCTCTGCATCAGGTTCAGAAACCCTATTTTGTTCTTCATTTCCTTTAATAGCTTCATGTTTTCTATCTGTGGAAGTACTTTTTTCAGATTTAATCGCAGCCCCAGTGTTCCCATTGTGCTTTTTCCAACCTCTTTTCCTACCTCTCTTCTTCTTCATTTGAAGACCCTGTTTCGCGTCTGCTTCAGGTTCAGAAACCCTATTTTGTTCTTCAATTCCTTTATCGTCCATCAAATCAGTTCGTTCCTCTTTTATTTCCTGATTCTCTTTCTTTTCAGCCAACAATCCCGCTGTGCTACTGCTACGTACAGCATTATAGCATGGAGAAATAAAATTAATGTCTTCTACTTTTTCGTGATTGAGAGGCAGAGTATGAGGAGAGCGCAAAGAAGAAGGTGCACGACAAGCAAGATATCGGTGCCGATCATCAACAGCACGGCGCCGTTTGTGATTATCACCAGCAAGTAGACCACAAACAATAGGATGGCGCCTTTTCTTATCATCAACAGCAACCTCATCCTTCACCACTGTGTCACCGATTTCACCGTCATCTATATTAGCCTCAGTAAGACTCCCGTTCTTCGTAATCGTCGTCGCCATCAATTGACACTAATTCTTGAGAATCGAGAAGAACAGGGGATTCTATGTATACCTAGAAGAGAAATTAGGGTTTTGAATGCAGAATTCTTCCCGCCAGGTGTACTCCACCTCACATGTTTCACGTACACACAGGGAGGAGACAAAATGCGCATGAGACGAAGACGATCTCTGAAATTCTGTTAAACATTCACCTCCCATCAATCTTACCGGTGATTGGTGTACAACTGTGCATATAAGACAAAAGAGCATTAAATGAAAAGAAAGTGAAAGTGAAAATGTATCTGTGCATGCATTTCAAAGCAACAAATAACATGGTTAAAGCTAAACCAACGAGACTTTTTTTTGACAAGTATGTATGTAAATATAGTATAAAGATGATTTCAAAAGAAAGATATTGTTTTGTAGAACCTATCTTCGATAAAATCATACCAAGTTTCAACTATTTAATTTGGATTTTTCTCCCTTTTCTTTAGCAAATGTCGTGAACGTTTTATGAAAGTAAAACTTCTTGGATTAAAATAGTAAAGTCATTTTTCATTATTTTATTAGTTAGTCTTCTTTTTAATCCATTTTATTAATGATAAATTATATTTTATATCTTTTTAAAATAAAAAACACAAAAAAAAATCTTAAAATAAAAAAATAAAAAAATAAAAAAAAAAAGATAAAATCTTAGTTTTTCTTCAAATAAAATAATTTGTTTATAGATTTTTATAAAAACTTTGTTACGAATAAAACGATTTGATGAAAGATTAAGTTGATTTGGTTGCTAATATTCTAATAAAAATTGAAATAGATGGATCCAATGAAAAACATAATATTTTTAATAGATAGTCTAATTGGATTAACAATAAACATATTTTAACATTATTTTTAATACGTATTTACATATTTTAAGATAGTTTCTCTTGTTTAAACATTTTGAAATTTCAAATTTATCATACATATCACTATGGTTCATCGAACCAAAACTGTATTCATTTTGTATGAAGATAAAAAGATAGAGAGAAAATGGTATGTATAGAGAGTGATTACAAAGGACATATACATAAATGAAAAATTAGATATAGAGAATTTTTTGAAAAATAAAAATGAAAATAAAAATAAAAAGATTCTCTAATTATTTCATGGGTTCTACGACTCCTAGTCATATTTAGTTGCAATTTGTCGCATCCTTCAAACACCATGTGCAAAATACCTCTAGTCAAATGATCATGCGGTTAGAGAAAATATTGCATATCTTTGTTCTTTATCTTCCCTTCTAACAGTTGAGCTTTACGCTCTTCATTAGCTTGGAAAATGTGTAATTTTTGTTCTCGATATCTTTTTCTCTGTTCTACCTCTTTGTTGGTTGTAGTGTTAATGTCGACAATTCCGTTGACAGGATCAAATATTTCATTTTGTGTTGACGGTGCGGATGCCGCTTTTTTTTTCCTTTTCCCCTTTCTCTGAGGCGGTGAATTTTCAACATTAAACAAATCACCTACAAATGCTTTTGCTTATTGATTTTTATCAAATAAAGTTAATAGAAAATTGATGTAGCAAAAATAATAAATCATTATATAAGTCATAAATTATGGATGATGCCCTTATATGAAAGAAGAAGTAATATTTTGTGTACAATGTAATACATTATTTGACATGTATTTGCTATATAAGAAAACGATGAACTCACATCTTCGATTACGTCTTTAGACTTCAACACAACCACGATTAGAGAGACGTACATCTTAACTAGTATATATATAAACCATCAACCAACAGAAAGAAAGAAATTCACTCCTTGTTTATAAAAGTTGAAGAGAGATTTCCCGGGTCTAAAAGACAATCTCATATTCATATAATGTCATGAAACATCAATGGAGGACTCATACATCATCTTTTGTCCATCCCATAAACAAAAAATGGAAAATAGTTTCAAAATCATCCCCCACAACACAACAAAAATTCATTCGTAAATGTTAACTTCATTGGTTTGTTAGTCTTCCTTAAGCTTATTGACATACTTGAGAAAAGCGCGTGCAGGATTATCCCTTGGTGCTGCACGTACACGGCTTGACCTCCTTAGTGCCGCCTCTTCTTCCATTTGAATCATGTGTGCCTCCTTCGATTTCTTCTGCATTTCACTCCTGCAATCAAAATGATGTTATAGCAACATACTTTCGTTTATTTGTACATTATAGCATCTAGACATTGTACTTTGAAAAATCAACCCAATTATAGCACTCTACTTTCAATTTTTTTTTCTTATTAAAGCATTGATTGTACTTTGAACTTACGATATTTTCTTGTAACGTTTCTCCAACAGCTTTTTAAGAGCCCTTTCTCGCTCACCCTTTTCATTTAGAGACCCCATCAAAGAGTCAAGCTGTGTATAATAACAAGAAGAGTCGATAAATAAATAAATAAATATAGCCAAAAGTTTGTAGTTATGAATCAATCTATGAGAAGTCAATAGTCAATACCTCTGTTTTAGTGGCATAGTAGCCCCATTGTTTGTGATCACAACTTTCAACAAATATCCTCCAATCCTTGCGGAAAAACCAGTACCTGTTATAATCCCTGTCTTTACCCAACGGATTTGTGCGTATATATCTCTTCTCAATTTCCCTCTCCAGAAATTCTTTCTGCAAATAGAATAAACAAAATAAAATTATATCCAAAACTGTCATATAAAGACCTTCTGTATATAGAGGTGGTATAAACAAAAAGAAACACACACACAAACACAGAGAGGAAAGAGGCCTTACCCTCTGCTCTATATTTGCTATATCATTTGTTTCTTTTTTCTCAACATCAGTCAATTTCTTTGACCCCTTTCCATTTGATACTTTAATACTTGCTGTTGTGGGATCTGTATCCACCTTTGACTTTTTCACATCCTTCTCAGATGTCTTCTCTTGCTTCTTCCCACTGCAGACCAATAATATAACCATTAAAACTCAAAATTAACCTTCTACTCAGAAACTTTACCATCAACCACAAGATTTCTAGGGCTATTTTCAATGAGAAGGGCATTCACGTCTTTTGCACAGACAAGATATTGAGAGAAAGTCCCTGTCCCACCTTTTTGAATGGACAAAAAATTGCAAGTTTTATCCCATTGACATCAGTATAACTTGTTATGCCATGTCATGTATAACAAATAGGGCCAAAAAGAACAAAACATGGAACCTGTTTTCAGATATGTGTTTTTTCAGAGTGGGTGAAGTTTTCTCCGGTTTCTTTGCAACATTTCCATTTTGATCCTTCGAGTTGTTTCCAACAGAATCGTTATGCTCCTTTGCATTTAAAGCAGCTTTTGCCAATTCCTTTTTCTCTCTTCTCTTTTTATTTTCTTCAATGGCTTCACCTCGTTTTTTGGACGCGAGTTCATGTCTCTCTTCAATATACTCATCCAGCTTTTCTCTCATTATGTCTGTTGCCATGACTTGAGCAACCAATTCAATAAAGATGTTGATCTTAGCTTGAATGTCTAAAAGACTATAATGCCCCCGTTTTATAGTAGGTATGTGAGTGGATAATTCATCATTGCTAATTAGTTCCAGAAAATCACACAAGTAATCCGTCCATGTGACCAAAGAAATCTGTATGAAATGATAAAAATCGGTTATTCACACAACATGAGTTCAAAAGAACAATATCAGTTTCATAAAAAACATAAGAGGTCAAATGTATTATCGCATCGGCGCATCCTACTTCCATTTCTTTCAATTGTTTTCTTATCAAGGCACTGTAGTTTGAAAAATCTACCAAGAATAACATTGTACTTACATTTTTTTTCTTACCCAATTACAACAGTAAAAATTGCTTTGTATCTAATTAGGTAGATTTTTCTAAGTACAATGTTGTAACAGGAATAAATGAAAGTAAAATGCTACAAAAAACAAATTAATGAAAATACGTTACCATTTTTTGCAATCAACTCAGTCTACAGTTTAACCATTTTGCAACCTCTAAGGAAATAAAAAATTTACAAAGCAGATGAATTATGAACCTTTAGCTTCCGTTTTTTCTTCTGTAAAGCTATAAAATAATCCCCATCATCCTTTATAAGTAAGCGAAGAAGAGCAGAGTGGGACTCCACAATCAGGAGTATATTGCTGTTGTCTTTATGGCAGATGGCATTTTCAAAATCATCCAATGAAAATGGTGATAAGTTCAAGAATTTACTATAAGAAGAACAGAAATCCCAAACCATCAAAAGATCACCAACACATTCCATTGGGACATTGAATTCTGGATTTGGTGGAGGACGTGGTGTAAAGACAGGATCATCTGCAGCAGCTTTCACCAATAAATCATCGATCGGATATTTGATTGGCTCAATGTTTTCTGTAATGTTGAGATTACAAAAACATCAGAAATTAGTAAGGTTGGATGCGGAGGGCATTTACGTCTTCTGCACAGGCAAGAAATTAAGAGCGAGTTCTGTAAAAGTTATGATTGTTGTACAACTGACATGAGTCCTAGTCCAATGTATGCCAAACAAGATGAGGATGAGAAGGGCATTCACGTCTTTTGCACATTCTTGGGTACAAAGGTTGATGCACTCTCACTTGCCAAAAAATATCTTAAAGAATATGCAAGAAGCCTAAAACATGATCTAAAAGGAAAAGAAATTAAAAGACTATACCTGGTTTTGCATCATCATTGGGTTTCTTTCGCTTATGTTCTCCATTGTTTTCCTCCTGAACAAAACCATGGAACTAATGAATTACTTCAAAGAACAAGATTCCATTTATTTACACCATTTTCCTTCATTCTCCATTTTGTTTGTCAGATCTTGATGTTTACTTCTTTTCAAAAAGAAAATAAACTCACACACCCATGATTCTCAAGAGACATGAACTTAAAACCTAATCTGTTTGGTTTGATGGAATGGAATGCAGATGGAATGGAATGGAATAAGCAAGGTAAACTGTATAGGAATGGAATGAATTTCCATATGTATCTATTATATTACATGTAAATACAATGGACAGTTTTGACTCTACCCTACATTATTTAACTATAGTTGATGAAAGCATTATTTACAAAAATAAAAACTCAAACATAATAGAAGGTCATCAAAGCCCAAATAAGATTATAACGAAAAAGAATATTTTTTTAGTTACTTCTAGAAAATAAAACTGTAATTTAGTTAAGACTGTGAAATTATATAAAAAACGACTTAGCATTAATGCATAGATAAAAATGGGTAGTATTTAAAAAATCACATTCTTTCAAGAATGATCTACAAAACAAACAGCTTTCTTTCCTAGAAATGGAATGAACCATTCCATTCCTTCCCCATTTCCATCATACCAAACACCACCCAAAAGGTTGTAACTTGTAAAGCCTTTTTGGGTGTGACAAAAACTTATAAAATTTGGGACCCACAAAATGAAAATGCTCAATGACCAAAGCAAGCAAGACCTTCAACATTTGAAACCAACAAGTAGTTACCTTGTCTTTTTTAGGAAGTTTCCTCTTTGGCGAAAGTTTGATTCTCAATTCTTCCGGAAGATTAGTAGAGATCCCATATTTCACTGCCAACTTATCATGAAGCACCCAAGGAACACTTCTAACTGTAGACTCTCTAATAAAAGACTTCAAAACATCTCTACTAAATGGCAATTTTTTCTTAATCAAATCTTCTCCACTCACCACAGCATTTTCAGTTACTTTCTTATCTTTATCAAGCCATGCTACATGATATTGTGTCTTTTCAACTTCCTCTTCAATTACTTTTACTATTTTGCATGGATATATTCGATTGTTCTTCCTCCCGTATATTTCAGTACCCTCCAACAAACGTTCTTGCAACTTTGCAGAAATGGTAATGACAAGATCTTTTAAAGGAAGCATGCCTGCAAATAGCACAATTTGAGGGTAAAATAAGTTGTGAAAAGTAGATAAAAAGGCAGAATAACGTATACAAAAAGGTTAGGAAGAGTAATTACTGAATTGAACATTACGTAACACAGGCTCCATGAGTTCTTTAGGGAATTGTTGAACCTTTTCATTGGCTTGTTTTTCAGAAACCAAAGCCTCTTCATATGTCAAATTGCTCTTCCCAGTGCTCTTGCATGTCCAAACTCTTTGGCGATAGAGATTTATCCGTTTTAAGTATTCACTAGTATGCACAAAGACCAAGTTTTTTTTATTAATAATGAAAAGATTATATGAACATGCTGTTTTCAACACCAAGATTCTGTAAAAACCACAATGTCTTCATGTTTATCACTCCCATTCGTATACAGACCCTCCATCGTTGCAAATTTATAGGCGTGAAAGAAAAAGAGTATAGTTTTCTACTACTCAAAGAAAAAGATTGTAACTAATTAACTATTTGAACTAAAGAAATATGACCAAAAAAAAATCGGGGCTAAAAGTTGCGAAAAGTTTAAGAATATGGTAGGTTATACTTGCAAAATCAAATGCTGATTGATTTTGGAATATTTGGAGTAGCATTGATGGAGCTACATGGAAGCCAGGAATACCCTACAAGTTGTAATGCTTTGTAATGTAAAAAAAATAGAAATAAAAAACAAAAATGTTGTTGCAGTGCATCCCTGAATCTTTTTTTTTTATTTATTTATTTTGGGAGTGGGTACTTGATTGAAAATCCAGGATCCTACTGACATTTTCTTGGATATGAAACTAGAATCCACAGGCTTGTTGAAGTTTGTTTTTTCTAATTGTATCACATATGTTTTAGATCTATATAAAATGTGATAGATCAATTGACCATAAAAATGAAAACACGTATCTTTTTCTAAAAGGTAAGTAGAACTGTAGAAATCAGATGGGACAAAAATGGAAAGACGTGAAAAAAACAAGCTATTAAAGGAGGAAAAAGAAGAAATTAGGAAGGTACCGATAATCGCGAAAAATCTCTTTGGTAAATCGAACTTGAAACACCAGCTCCTCAGGCTTCAAATCATCAGGTTTTTCCAAAATAGGGAACGGTTTCCTTCTATATAACGGCATTTCACCAACTCAGCTGCATAAACAAACATTCATAACATGCATCAACAGATTACACCTGAGAAAAAAAAAACCCAAAAGCCACGCACCATTTCTAAACCCTAAAACGCTGTTTTTTTCTCGGTGGGTTTTACGAAAGAACCCCACAAACAAGAAATTAGCAAAAATGACTTGACTTATACTCAACTGGTGAATGATGATACAAGTCACAGCAGAATCACTTTATAAGAGGCAAAAACCCCAACCAAACAAATTGAAAAGGAAATTTGATTGAAATCATGAAAATGCTAACATGTTATTTGCAATTCCCGCCACAATTTGATTCAATCTCGCACATAATTCGTTAGGTAAAGCAGTAAATACTGTAGGTGGAGTGAATTCAAGAGATTTACCAGAGATTAGTAGCTTGGATTGTTGAGAGAAAAGTAAGAGAGAAGAGACAGGCGGTGGATTTTGACGTGTTGGGCGTTGGCAAGGAGAGGGGGTTCTCTCTACGCACCTGGTCTCTTGAGACTTCCCTTGTTCTCGGGAGCCAAATATTAAACGGATCTCATTTTAAAACAAGCCCCTCATCTTTCAAAATAAGACAAATAACCCCCTTCTCTTTTTAAACAAGCCCATTGTCTTCCAAAGAAATACAAAATACCGGATGTAAATTTCTCATTGTATTGGTCGGGGGAGCATTTGAACCTCCGGACCGGACCGGACTTGATAAGCCTCAACAAGTCTGGTCTAAGGTCCACCTATTTCTGCAAAATTTGTTTGGTTCGGTCAAAATGTTCACCCCTACATCCAAGAACCGGGAATAAGGCTTGGACATTGACCTCCTCACCAAATCCGGTCCAAGGTCCTCCGGTTTCTGTAAAACCAATCTGGTCCAAATGCTCACCTCTAATTAGTTGAATACAAACGACATCGTAATGCAATCTTTATTCTAGATTTTATATTAATTAGATGTATGTTCGTATAATGTGCATGAAGCAAATTATATATTTAAATTGTTTTTAAACAAATATTTAAATATATTGGAGTTCATGTTGACATAATTATAAACTTGTAAATAAGTTGTTTTACAGTTAGTTCAGTCATAGTGTGTAGATTGATATTTACCGCAATCAATGAATGAAAGTTTCTTTGTAAAATGTTGTTGGGTGATATGTAGTTGAAATAACAATGTACTTTTACGATTTGTTTATTATAACACCTCAAAGTATGGTTGTTGGAAAATACATCAAAATTAAAATAAAAGTAAATTGTGTGAATTGTACATGTGGTTTGGAGTAATTTACGCGTTACGTCCATAACTTTTTCAAATTCTGACCGTCCCTGTTATACGTTTTTGTTGCATATGAAGTCTCTATCAAACATAAAAAGACTATTTAACCATCATTACTTTTTTTTCAATTAATTTTCTTACATGATTTTTTTATATTATTATTAGCTTTTAGTGGGTGATATGTCCTAAATTATATATATTTTAAGGGATATTTTAGATACTTTTAAAGGCATTTTTACGGAAAAAAATGTGCTTAATTCCTCGATATTTCTATTTTGCAGCTGAAAATGACATGGTGAAATAATAGCTGAAAAGGACCAGTTTAGACATAATTTTGTGAAGTATTGAGCAAGCAAGTCAGCAGGAGTTAAGCATGGGAAGAAATTTGAAGATTCTAAAGATATTTTATGGATTTATTATTTTTCGTCAAGATTTCAAATCTCGTCACGATTTAAGTCGGTTCTAAAAAACTATAAATAGAACCCCAAATTCGTCCATAACAATGTATCACATCAGAAAATAAGAAGAATATTGAAGGAAACATTCAGAGAAGGCCGTTTTGAGTGTCTAAAAGGATATATCATCCGGTAGGCTGCTATAGAAGCGTAAATCTGAAGATCAAAAGAATAAATTATTAGGTCGGTTTGTTTACTTTTCTGTTTATAGTTAGTTAACCTTTTGATTTCCTATATGTTCTTTTCAATGTTTGGAATTAAACCCTTTATGATTATTTGATGTTTATGAAACCCTTGTTTTAATGATTGATTCATATTTGGTTATTGAGAGTTGTTTAATATATTATGTTAATGCTCAATTAAAGACCCATATGTATTGATATTAAATTTTGTTATGCTTAGGTAACTGAGTGCATTATCTAAAGATTAGATTCAGATTATGTATCTTGAATCAACTATTTAGTTAACAGATAAGAGAATGGAACTTAGCCAGTTAAGGCGTAGACAAATTTGACGAGTGGGGTCGTCCCTAGGTTAAACATAATATAATTGATTCAATATTCATGATTGATCCAATAACTTAACAATTTGAGAAGTTGTGTAACGTCTGGTTCTTGATATGTATTTAAACTTATAAATTATTCAATTTTGTAGAGCGACTCGACGAGTTGGTAGCCCCAACTCGTCGTGTTGAAATGTTATGGACCGCGTGTTTTAAGTGACCAACTCGACGAGTTGGGAGGACTCAAGTCGACGAGTTGGCTAGAATGAATGAAACCCTAATTTCGGGGTTTTGCACCCTATTTAAACAACTTAAGCCCCATAAGTTGGCCTTATTTCCAGCCTTCACTGTCCTTGTGACAACCCGAACCTTTTTCAGTCAACGAAAGTCAAATCCCGTTAAATAAATGTAACACCCGGTTTCAGGTGCGTATTTAAATTCAAGCAAAACTTCATATGTTGTACTGGGACTCTGCGAGTTGGAGGCCCAACTCGTCGAGTATGTTCGACTTCGGATTGGGGGGTTAAGTGACCTACTCGACGAGTAGGGAGACCGACTCGGCGAGTAGGAGCTGTCTGGGCAAAACCCTGACATTTAGGGTTTTGCACCCTATTTAAACACTTTATCTCGTCCCAAACCAGCCTCCATCACCCCTCCCAACTCAGAGAAGCCCTAAACTGAAACCCTAACCTTGTTTGAGTTATCTTGAGCCATTTTGTGTGTTTTTGTGGTGAATTGAAGTTTGAAGAAGAGAAGGAAGCTTGTAATATCAAGAGAGGACTGTGGATCCAGAGGTTTTGAGTTATTTCCATCCCATTCAAGGTAAAAAATATTCAACCTTGACTTCTCATTTGATAGACCTCCTCTAGGGCTTAGATCTTATCATTTTCGGGCATTTCTAAGGAAATTTTCGAATTGAGTGTGTATCATGGAGTTACACTTCAGATCTTGAACCATTGAGGGTTCATATGGCATAAAGGTGCCAACTTTATGTCCATGAGAAGCCCATGCATCTTATAAACCCCTTTTTTGGATTTTGGAGCCAAAAACCTCATGCATGGACATCAAGTTTGTAGCTTTGCGTATGAAATGGACCCTAGGAGGTCAGATCTATGGTTTTGATGCATTAAGTGAAGGGTTTTGAGCATTCTAACACTCCTATGGTGTACATGAAACCCTATAAACCTTGGATCTATGTTTTCTCTATTATACATGCAAATATTCAATATTCCAAGGTTTCATCCTAACTAGCATAATATGAAGCAACTATACTACAAAAGCCTAGTTAGATAACATACCTTTTGATGGAGCTTGAAGACTTGATCTTTAAAAGCTTAGCCCCAATAGTGTGGAAGCCTCAAGTGGAATCACAAATCACCAAAACCACCTTGGAAAACTTGAGAGAATAGTAAGCACACTAGAAATTGGCCCACTCTTGTTTACACACACGCTAGTCCATTTCATGTGCCAAATACCTCTTTATATAGTATGGAAGATTAGGGTTACATTCATCTAAACCCTAATACCCATGACCTTTCATTTCCATAGGATCCATGGGTTAAAAACTCCATGGACTATCCATGCAAGCTTAGCCCAACCTAAATGAACTTGGCCCATTCCATATATATATATATAAGAGTCCATATTTAATTAGTTCCTTTTGATAACTAAATTAATTCTTGATCAATACTAATTAAATAATATGATTTCATATTAATATATTATAACCAATAATATATTAATAAATCATAAACATACTATTCTCAAAAAGACTATCCATACAAATTGTTTCGGTGAAGTGCAACCCAAATGGACCATGTCGGGTCGGGTCGAGTACATACCAATAATAGTTATGGGCTTAGACATCTAATCCAATAGTCTCCCACTTGGATAAGTCTAAAACTATTATTGCGTATGACTCCAAGATCCCAACTAGCAATCGTAGCTCTTAAAGTCGTTGTCGAACTCTGACCTAGTCAAATGACTTGTCCATTAGATAAGGGATCATATATTCCTCCATTCTAGATATCATATAGACTGAGACATGGATTATAATCATTCTCTCTGTCCATTTGTTGTTTCCCGATTTCCTATTTATGACGACTGACTAATTGAACAAATCAAATCAGTCCAGGCTTGGCCAAGCACTTCGGGGTGTCATCACTAAATCATCGAGGGGCCCATAGATATCGCTTTTATCCCTCCAAGGGTAAATGGAATGGATAAACTTCGACTCATATGCTTGTCCTGCTACTTGTTGAATCATACAAAAAGGCACGTTTTATAACATCAAGTTACTGATGCGTTTTCGTGCAATCAATGTATAACCAACTCATAGTCAACAACTCATATCTCTAGGTTTGAAGAATATAAGATATTATCGTCTCATGATCACTCATGATAAAATCCATGAAGTGATTCAAATGAGCGTGGGTTTAATCCAATACTCAGAACTTATGAGCACTCATGAATGTTGTAGCAACTTTTGCGATGCCCAGCATCTTAGACATCTACAAGCCAACTTCATGACAGTCTTGCCTTAATACCTACTTCCAACGTATTAACGACTGTGGATGGTTTGAACAACTTAGTCATTCGGGGAAGAATGACCTAGTTATTCTGAAAGTCAAAACATGCAAAGTGAAACACAATAATAATCGAATCCAATATGGTCTCGGAACTTATGAATATAAATAGAACACCTTTTATTTATCACCATATTGATTACACATTATTCATTGTATAATAATGTTTCAATTAATCAACTTTATACTTGAATCAAAACAATAGTCATGACATGCTCTAAGCATGCACACTATGTTTATCCAAACAATAGTCATGCCATACACCAAGTATGCACACTATGTTTGTCCGTGATCTTTATTTTTTGGAATAGATCGATTGAACATAATTCCAATGATTCTCATTTCACAATCCCAAATCCTTACCGTAAATGTAAGAATTCTAAATTCCTACCTTTTACCGAAATCTGTTAGTTTTTAAACTTATATGCACTGAACCACTTGTAATGACAAAGTCACAAAGACTTGTCAACAGTCATTACAGAGTATTCCAATGGAGATCAACTCCATGAAAACGAAGTCTCATATTCAAAGTACATTGCTTTGAACATCCTTCTTGCATTAAGTTTTCTAATCTTACACAGATTGAATAACTTCCACCCATGGAACCATTTCCATATTCCCATTTTGATTATCACTTCTGAACAAGAGTTACCTCTTTTCAGAATATGTCAATATGGTCCTCTCCAAA